CAATGGAATTGATAAAATATTATTCAAATTGTATTCATATTACTTATTTAATTACTTAGTTTACTTACTTTCTGAAGGATTTTATATGCAACATAATGAACAATAATTTTTAATCCATTGTCCAAGAATCTTTGATTATTTGTTGTCAGGAATCGTCAGAAGATTTGAAGCTTTTTGATCAGAATGATCTGTAACAATAATAATCTTTCATCGCTAAGATTCTCTTACAAAGTTACTGCAATATTGCACAGTGAATTAAGAAAATTTAGTTTTAGAAATAGATAATCTCAAAGTGACGAACAAGAAATATTATGTATACGTTAATTGAAACAAGTGATTCTAATGTCTAAATACATATTCCATTTGCCATTTGAAGTCATAGAAAAAGTTAACTTAGTCAACAATACTATTCATATAATTAGAAATACTATTGCAAAGTTTACTAATTGTAAAATTTAACATTTTAAGTTAAAAACAAGTCACAAATTACAATAAATTTTCTAATATAGTATTAAAAAATAAATATAATTTCATTATAAATTTTTATAAATAAAATCTAACATCTTATTAAAAAATTACACAAAATTAATAAAAGAATAAATTCTCTTTTACAAATAAATTTTATCAATCATAAATTATTTGATTATTATTATAATTCATATTATACTTTAGATTTTTATATATTCAATTTTTGTATAAATATCCACCAACTTCAACTAATTATTCCACTCGACATAAAAATATGAAATGCTTGTAACTTGTCATTTCATATAAGTTACAAAATTATTTTGCAAGAGGGTCCAGAAATGGAAAGATAGTCGAAACTGGTTTCTAGTTCGGCTCGACAGGACTCGACCAGTGAGGAGGTCCTGTTTGCTCCTTTTGCTACTTTCTGATTCAACTTCTTCTTCTTCTTCTTTTTCTTCTTGTTTTTAAGATTGTTTAAGGGTTATCCTTGGGATACTGAACATACTGAACAGCTTTGTTCCTATTTGTGTTAAATCGTATTTAATGAAGATGATTTAAAATAAAATTTTCAAGCAACAACCATCTTGCAAGGATTATTCTTTAATGTTTGCGAAGATTCTTTGATTAAAGAATGGCTGAGATTTCCGTGATCTGCGCAGTTGATTTTCCTTGGTTTCAAGCTGTACAGAAATAGCAGCAGCAATTTTGGAGCGCGTTAGGGGATTGGGAAAGGTCGGGATCCCGGTTCCATAGGGTCCATATAATATGGTGCGATTAAGAAATTCACGTAACCGGTTACGAGACTTTGTATTTTGCATTTCCAATTATATATTCGCACTTCAAATTATATATTTGTTATTTACGTTGCGTTAGAATGTACTTAATATATTGAAAAATGAATTTGTTTAAGCTGGAAAGGTGTAATCATTATTTTTAATTTTTATAAAGATATGAAAAGATAAAAGATAAATAGATACTTAAATAAATACCTTGATCTTAAAGAGAAATGAGACACTTTTATCAAAATATTGAACTTTTGGTAAAATTTTAATTTCTTCCTTCTTCTGGTATATATATGGTAAATTTTTAAATATTGTATAAATTTTTTCCAAAGTTGTTAATAATACATCAATATCTTATTTATAAGGAATTCTTTGATCATCTTTCATAGAATTTTCTGAAACTTCTTAGCTTCACATTCACGCGTTTATTTAAAGCCACATAAAATTGCATAAATAGAGAATCAGTAAACAAAGTTAACTGCCAAGTGTGATTATTAGAAATAATAAATCTGGACCAAGTTTCGTCCATTTCATCGAAAATTTCTAAATAAATGTTATTAACCATACTTTTTTATTTTCTAATATATTACGATAAAATCGAGAATGGTAGAGAAAAAAACTTCATTACTTGATGATGGCAATCCCAAGACCTTGCGATGATTCCAAGAAATAGCTTCTCGACCTATATTTCTTCTTTGAACAGGAAAACACCGAAGAGCATTCATCGAAAGATTCTTCGTTCGATGAATCGTAATGGTATATCGATTTTGATTAATCGCTTCCTTCCTATCGATTACTCTCGATCGATTCAATATTACTAACTAAATTACTAAATATCAGTACTTGTACATAATTGTTCTTTATATTTCTCTAAGATTATTTATAAAGATCATCAACATTGAATAAATAAATAAAATTTTGTATATATATAAATAACAAGTTAAAATTTTAGAAATTTTATCAGATTATATAAGGAAGAGAGAAATTTTGATCTATTTATAATGCATAAATGAAACTGATCGTGTATCCATTTTGTGCACAACAATTTCCAACTTGGCAACCAACACTTAACCAACTCAATATGTTATAAATAATCGAGAAATTACGTGAAACCATCTTAGATTTGAAATCTTATCTCTAACTAAGAATTAACAACTTAATAAATCATATAGATTTTATACAAATAAGATAAGAATAAAGTAAGAAAATGTTTTAGAAAGTAACTAACGTACCTAAAATCGATGCATCGAAGGGAAGTTCGTATGTTTATAGTTGCCACCCACGATGAGATTCTATATCTATGCGGATGAGTAATCTCACTGAACAGCTCGATGAAATAATCGATGCATCGAGATCGTTCGATTACCTCTTGTTCTTCATTTGCATTCCTTTTTCAAATTAAAATTAAAATCATTTTTTATTACTCTTTATTTTTATTTAGTGTAGGTTTACATTCATTCCTCTCATTAATATAAAGATCTCTTGTTTTTCATTTACATTCTCTCTTTTTCAAAATTAAAATTTCCACAAGATTATTTAATTTTTACTATTTTTAATTTACTATATAAATTATTATAAATTTCCATTTTCTTATTATTTAATATAGTCTTTTTTTTATTTATATAATTTTTATTAATATACGTTTACATTTTAATTTCTTCAAAATTAATATTTTCATTTTTAATTTTCTAGAATAACTAGAATAGTTGATTTACGTAAATTTCTCTTCTATTATTTTTCATTTTCATTAATATAAATTTACGTCACAGACGTGGTGATATATAGAAAGTAGCTTAAGGTGACGACAATTTTTGTATAAAAATATAAAACTTGTGTTGGCCACGTTCCTTTATACTCGCACGCCTACGCTCTTGGACGTCTCGTTTGGAACCGCTCGTTGATTCTTGTTGCTAATGCGAAAAAAATATTGCATTGGACGTTAGACATTTTCGTTCACGCCAAAAATTTCATTCGTTCATTAGAATGAATCATTTCTATGTTACGTTAGATACAAAACCAATTGAATAATGAGAAAAATTCTATTCTAAATTATTAATTCAAAATCCCTAAATCTAATTCATTATTCAACGTTCTTTAAAAAATTCTTCTTCAAGATTAAATTCACTTAATAATGAATCTCATAACTACATCCTCTTCAAATTCAAAATTTCAACATTTTAGATAAATTCTAATCCTAATATCTTCAGTAAAAATTCAACATACATCAACATCATCATAAATATTCTGTCAATCAACATTCCAAATTCTCCATAAATTCTTCTTCAAGGCCAAATTCACTCAACAGGGTCGATGGATCAAATCTTACAACTATATCCTCCTCAAAGGCGATGACACGTTCGATGGCCTCCACAGAGTGGATGGTCGAACGTTGGATGGAAATATAACGTTGGGTTTCTAGGTCCACGCCTACGAATCATCCAATTTTGAACGTCTCGGAACCTTGCTCGAGCTCATCATCCGATTCCATTCTCGTCTGATCGGATACGTGACTAGGCGCGCCGCATTCTCTTTGCAACATATACATATGTATATCCACGTAACGTCTCGTCATCAGGGAAATTTGCAGGTGTGAACGACCCTTCGATCGAGAGGGTACGGGAAAATTGTTCATTGCCACGTGTCGTTGCGGGCTGGCCGCGTGATGTATTTTTAAACGGTTCGTTGTATCGTTTAACCATTGCGTTTTCGATGTCGTATACTCTCTAGTTGAGCCGAATATATTTGAGAGTTGATCTCTCGAGAATTGCTCTTCAATTTTATGAGGAGTGGACACTGCAATTGGAAGTAAAAATTAATTTTAATATCTTGAGAATTTTATTCTAAAAATGTATTGATAAGAGAATATTATTGATAATAGTTTTAAAAGGTCACTGGATAACTCTCGAGAGTTACTTTGGAAAATATTTTTTGCAAAGGAACACTGGATTAATGGACGCTGAATAATTCTTAAAAATGTTTTTTGCAAATGCACTGTGTAATTTTTAAATGTATTTGTATAAGATTTGTTGACAAAAGTATTTTTTGGAATGAAGAATCATGTTAATAATGATTGTTCAAAATAATTTTGTTCCTCCAACAGTGTCCATTAATGAAAAATAACTTTCGAGTGCATATTTCAAGAATTCTATATTCTGAAATGGAACCTCTAAAATTTTAGATCAGAATTTGAACGTTTGTAGGATTTTGTTTAACCGGCTCATTGACCAATGTCGATGAAGTCAGCTGTTCTTTGAATCATGTAGATCCCATTTTTACGGGATCATCGCTTTCTCCTTCCAGGATAATCGTCTTAAGTCTCTTTTTCTCTGTCTGTCAAAGGTAGATCCTATTTAGATTACGTTTCCTCCAGTGAAAGTACAACTATCTTTGTTCAACAAGTTGTTCCAACTTCTTTCTTCGTCTCTTTCTTAATCTTCCTCGTGATTGTATTCTTATTAATATAAAGCCAATTGTCACATATAAAATTTCTTAGAAAATGAATCTTATAGATATGTATCTTATTTTGAAAATCGTGCTCAACTTTATTTTATCTTTAATTCATTATAATTCATATTATTATACTCTCACGTTTATTGTTATTAAGTTTGCTTAAAGAAATATGAAAGAACTCATTATTCAGCTTTTTAATATTCCATAATCTTCTTCTTAAATTTTATTAACCTATGAATATAAAATGCATCAAAGATCAATACCCATATAAAATATCCCTAAAAGATTGAATATCCAATCTAACCGAATAATTCCAAGGAACCAATTGTATATCTTCTTCTTTACAAAGAAAGCAACGAAAAAAAAAAAAAGATTTGCGCAAATTAATTCGCGGATGTTTCAATATCGAACACACCGTCAGGTGTCTCTGGTTTTCCACAGTGGAGCCGCGTCGCGTCGTAACCCTAAAAATAAAATAATCGGAAGCATTTTGTGCGGCGCGGTAACGCGCAGGTCGGTTCGCGCTAAATTTAACACCACCTCGCGTATCTACCTAAATACACTTGTACAAGCCACGGCCTGTTGTTGGCTGGGTTCCGAGGATCGCGACAAGCGCGCCTCCACTCGCCCTCACCCGAGCTTTCCTCGGAGAGTTACCTCTTTCGCAGGATCCAACTCGATCTACATCCTTGAGAATCAGGATAATATTACTTTTTCGTGTAGTATCACTTTGCATTGTGTTTTAAAGTTTGTAATGTAGTTTTTCACGATCAATGAAATTATATACAGGATATTAATGTATAATGTGGAACCACCTTTGGAGGATTGATTCTAAATATCAAAAGAAACAAAAGTTGATGTATAAAAATGAATGGAATAAAATGGTTGAAGCTTATTTTTAAATTATAAACAATTTACTGTATTTTTATACTTTGTGTTTATACATTGTCTTTTTAATCTCTGTAGTCTTTGTGCGAATGGTTTTATAGTTTTATAGATGATTTGCACAATGCATAAGTTGTCATTGAAATCAATTATATATTTTGTTTGTTCGTTTTGTAAGCTGAAATATAATATGATTAACTTAAGTATCTACTGAAAACTCTAAGAAAATTTCTTTAAAATTAGGAATTGTTCTAAAATTTATTGTTCTAAGTGTATCCAAAATATTTAATTTGACTTAATAACTTTATAGAAAAGAATTTATTGTAAAATATTTAATCATAGGGAATTCAATTTGGATTCCTGAGAATTTCAAAATAGAGATATCTACTAGCAAAGAATCCTCAAATAGTTTTTCTTACCGTTCTAAGAATTTCCAAAATATTTAAATTTGCAAAATTTAAACAATATTTGAATAATTTGAAATCATTCTTGCAAGATGCATATTTACTTTCTTACTCTTATCATATTCTTATCATTAATTCCTGTAAGTTATCTATAAATTGTAAAAACTGGAACCATATATTCGTCGAATCATTTGAACCTTCATTGTTTATCATTTTTCTTGGTTAGTTCATCGCTGGAATTTCGTTTATCATCCAAACTTCTCATCGTGGAAACGATCGACGCGTTTTCCGAGAAAGTCGACCAGCTGAATTACGATCCCAGTCGTGATAACAATGACGTCATTCGTCTGATTCAATGTTAAAATTAGTCGAGAATCGAACCGGGTTCACGGTTGGTGGTATGATGGCAATTTTCGTGAAAATAATCTCATGAAAGTGAAATCTCGACCGTGAAAATTTACAAATTTTTACAAACGAAGCTTAACATGGTTCCATTTGATAAATTGTATGAATTGCAACATTTTTTATCCAGTAATGAATGAGGAAATGAATTTTACTTAACACTGTCAATCATTGTCCAAGATTCTATATACAGAAAAATATTACAAATGTTAATTGCTGATACAAAAAAAATATTCAATAATTATCAAAGTATTCTCTTATACTATTATAAGAAATTTTGAAAAATAATTGAATGAACTATTGAGATTATAATATTGATATGAGAATAGTTGGATTATATATAATATTATTTTGTTTATTTATATTATATTAGTTAATCTCTATTTTATGAATATATATAAAGTGAGAGATCAAAATATTCAAAAACGAGATGGCACGTGGCACCAATAGTTATGCCAAGATAAAAGCGACCTCGTGTCGATTCTATTCTCCAAAATTCTATTATTAAAAGAGATTTTCGCACGAGACCACAAGTTTGTTGTGAGTTCAACATCGTTTTACGAAAGATATTTCTATATTTTCAGATCAGAGCATTCTTGGATATCTTGAGTTCTATATGACAGAACTTACATTTGTTTTTTTAAGACAGAAAGCGAACAATGATTCTTAAAAATTTTAAAATTATGAAATAATACTATATATTAATTACAGTGTGATATTTAAAACATAAGGAACATAAAAAATAATTAATAGTTCTCTTATCATTCAAATTTTCAAAATTTTTAACTTTGAAATTGAAAATAAATTAATTCATTCATTTCAATAATTATGTTATGCATAATTTTTAAATTTAAAAAATTATATTTATCCAACTTTCTCTCTCAATATTCGTGAAAAAATTAAATTAATTTTCAATACTTACCAATACTTAATTCCTTTAAAAATAAAATCTTCTGTTTCTGTAATTTTTAGAAAAAAAAATTATCTCTTCTTATCTTTTCTTTGATCATCAATTAACAAACTTTCAAATTACAAATCCTTTTTCTGATCGATTATCAATTAACAAATTCTTGGAAAGAAAGTTTTAAAAAGTTCAGTAACCCTGTCGAAAACGTGACGAGCAAACACATACTTGAATAACACCAACAATTCGAACTGCAAAAATAGAAAACCATCAATATTGAATATAGTAGTTGACCGCTCCTTGAAACCACGCTGCAAAAATATCACCGCTTTAAATAGCGAATCATCATAAGCTACACGCAGTTTCGTCAGTGAAATATAATTGCCGCCCACTTTTCGTGTCATGAACACGCTCCACGATGAATATCGAGTACCTGCTGATAGCTTCATCGATTATCATTCAATATCCACTTATATTGATTCTTGAATCGAACCATTTTCTAATAAAATAAATATTACATAGATCACATATTTCTTATCGTTTCTCTGGCAAATTATCAAATATATGAGCTTTGAGTATCTTCGAGGAATAAATTAAAAATTGTAAAATTTATCAATCTTTCATTGAAATTTATTTAACTATTATCTATGAATTTCTCTTTTTTGCCTCATAGATAAGAGAAAATGGAATACTTATTGAAAACTATATAAATTTTATTATTTATAATTAATTTTTTTATTAATTTTGAAAATTTTAAATCTTTTTCATGAATAATATATTGATAAAGTATTTTCAATTCATTAGAAGATGTAAAAAAAATTTTTGTATAAATTCAAAGGGTTGAAAAGACACACGGTATACGTTCTCTAGACTTGGTAAAATAATTAAACGACTCAACCTTCATACGAGGAGAAACTTCCATAAAAGGGATTAAGCAATGAAACATGGTCGAGTCATCGAAAGATAACTGGCGGTCACGTAAGTGTATGTGGGTTACCGCTCGTTCCTTGATAATACCAAAAGCAGTTCAGCTGGCTGATTGCGAAAACGGTAGCTGCTACCGTGTCGCAAAGTAAATAAATTGAACAGTGAAAATAGAAAGTTCGATTCAAGTACCAGTTTTTAGAATCATTTTAAAACTTACTTGATATTTAAATCATAGTTATATTTTTTAGTAAAATACTTTTCAATGTAATTTATTCTTGTGCATAATAAATATGTGACAGAAAAACATTGAATTTACAAGCATCTTTCATTACAAGCAAGCATATTCACCTGTAAGAATTATACCATTTTAATTTAATTAATCTATATTTAAAATAGATTATTGTTTTATTACTTATATTGACAACTAAAAGTATAAAAAGTTTTAATATTGATATAAGGATTAAATAGTGAATGCAATATAATAAATTATGATAATAAAGAATATGATATATTAACACTATGATAACACTTGTAACATGATTATTAATTATTAGTTAAATATTCAATATTATTTTTTCAATTATTATTCAATTATTTCTTATTATTTCTACTTTTTATTTTTCAAATTATTATATTTTTCTAGAGACATAAAAAATTTTATTATTTGTTAATTTATCTAAACTAACTTGTCTTCATAGTGTTAAAGGAAAAATTAGTGAGCTTAATTTTCAAAATGAAATATAAAAAGATATATATATATATATTTGAAAATTTCATAAAAATTACTTTTATTAACATATTATTAATTACGAAATGAGCTATTTTGACACAGATGCAATATCACATATGTGCATCGAAATGCCAATACCATGTTATGTGACTCAATACTTGAATACTGCATTCCATAGATAACGCAGGAATGCATCCAGTTACCATTACATAAGAAAATCTTCATCGTTATCTCTTTAAGCATTACTACTACAATCATTTGATTAATTATCTTTCAAATTATGGTGTTATTTGGATGATGCAATGTAATGAAAATAACTCTTACATATTGTAGATTGGATCTCGTCCATTATTATCATCCAAATTAGTATCTATTTCTTTTTTTATTTATTATCTCAGTCCACTAACTGTGATCTAAATAATCACTATAGTTGCTCGACATTGATATTGCGAAGATATTAATAATAATTCGTAAAAAATTAATCCTTTACAATTATATAAATTATTATCTTAAAAGAATTAAAAAAAGAATTTAGAAAATTGAATTTTTATTTAAATCATTGCAATTAATGATCTGCAATAACTGTTGTATTCTGTTAAGTGAAATGTTTTTTTTTTCAGGAATTCGGACAGCAGTAATGTCCTATCAACAGGTATGTACATAAATACCAAAGTAAAATAATTATTCACGAACCTCGTTTCTCTCGAAACGCTGAAACGAAGATATGCGATGTATGCAAATAACTGCTGCCTCGTGATAATCAAGGAACGAAAAGCTAAAGATATGCAATTAGATGCGTCGCTTCAAAGTTTACAAATATTTCTGAACATTCATCAATAATGTATATTTACGTTGTTTAAAATATCTTCTACCTAAAAACAAACAAAATAAAAAATAAATTTAAAAAAACAGATAGATGATTTTTTTTTAAATTTGAAAAATTTCCATGTTTTTTTTATTTCGAAATTAATAAAAAAAAATAATACTCAATAATTTCCCATGTATTATCATTTATACAAAACATTTATCTTAATAAATTTTAAATTCCATCATGTATATACATATTTAAGATCCACTTTCACAAATGCGAAGTTCAACAAAAGTCTGGAAAACCAAATTTACCGTTCGCTATTAACTGTCATTCTACGATTTTATGATTCACACAGTGAATACCATAAAAAAATTGCATACCAAACTTATCTGCAACTTGTGCAAAAAACTTTCGCTCGTTTATATTCTCAAATATAATCGTGGTATTAAAAATTTGAATAAATATCAATATGAAATTTGCTATCTGTACCATAGTTTTAATGTGGACATCATCTATCTAAATATTATTAAAAGTTACAAATTGTAATATCAAATAATTCTATCAAATTTGAAATTCTACAATACAAACAATAATCACACTATATCATATTCTCTCCTTTCTTTTTCTGTTCTTCTTTTTCATTTTTTTCTTCTGTTTTTTTTTCAAATTTCTCTTTCTCCTTCTCTTTTGTTTCTATATTCTGTTTTCCCCCCATTTTTTGTCACAATTCTTCTTCTTCTTCAAATACTTTCTTTGTTAAACTCTTTCTCTCTCTTCTGTCCTTCTTTATTGTTCTTTCTTTCTTCCTTTCAATTTCTTTTCTCTCTCTCTCTCTTTCTTTCTATGCTTGCTATTTCTTTGCTACTATTCTCTTTTTCTTTCCTCCGTTTCCTTCTTTTCCTATTCTTTTGTGTCATTCTCTTTTTTCTCCTCTTTTAAATTTTTCTTCGTTTCTTTATCAGTTCTTCTTCACATATTCCTTTATCAATTCCTCCTCACATGATCATTTATTAATTTTTCTTCTTTGCTTCCTTTATCAATTTCTTCTTCTTTTTTCTTCAATTTCGCCTCTTTCACTCTTTCAATTCTTCTCTTTCTCTTATTCTGTTATCTTCTTTCGTCACTCTCATTTTCCTCCTCCTCTTCTTTATCATTTTCTTTCTTTCATCTTTCTATCCTCCTTTATCATCTTCTTACAAATTTTGCAAATTATAATCTATCATATTTCAATATATTTTAATATACAATTATAAAATATTTTATTGAAGAAAATTTTTCTATGCAAAAAAATTTATTTAAATGTTTAATTAATTGTTGATTGTATATCATAATATACCTATTATAAAACTTATTATTTAATATTCATTATACGTAAAATTAGTTTGATGTTTCGAATTAAAAAATCAATATGATACACAGATGAGAAATAAATTTGAACCTTGAAATTAATTTAAATTTTCGATTTGATATGCGAGAGAGTGTTAGCTTGATAAATATTACTAAATATCTTGGCGAGAGTTCAGAATTTCCGGTGAGCCACACGGAAACGTGTGAACGATGTGCGCAACATACCGCATACCTGACCTCTCGTTAGCATTCCATTAAATCGGTAATCGTTGCAGGACTTTATCCTCCGCCTCCTCCACCGCCACCACCGCCTCCGGTACCTAACCAGGTGCCGGCCATGAGAATCAACACGGCAGAGGTAAGCGGAAGATCGGCAATTCGAGTTCAGTACACGTTCGTCGTTCATTGCGAGCGTATCTCGTGGATTTTGTCGAGATGATCTGAAAATTTTAAAGAATTAGAAAAGAAAGTAATTAAATATTTCCTGTGTTTATCCTATAATTTTTTTTTCTTCTTCTTAAATATTAGAATTTTTTTGAATAATAGAAAATGGTGAGTATTAAAATGAAATGTAATTATAGTTATGAAAATTTAATTTCAGAAAAAAAATTTAGAAATTAATGAATCGTAATATTTTATTAAATTAAACCATTCTCTTTTTAATTAAATAATAAAAAATGGTTAGAATGAAACATTACTTTCCTGGGAATATATTTGTAAAAAATGAATGAATAGGAACGAGATTACGAGGAATTCATGGAGAAAATATATAAAGATCCGTCACGAGGAATTAAAGTCTGTAAATTAAGGCGCCACTCAAGGTCTCTGTATTTTCTTTGTTCCATATTTATTTTGGTCCAATGTTTATTTTTAACTTCGGGTTTTTTGTCCAGATATATATTTAAATATAACCTGAAATCATTAAAAGAATGAATCAAACAAAGAAACAATATCAAATATGCTTTTACAATTTTTACAAAAAAATACATACCTCGATATTACTTATCTTATTCTCAAAAATTTACAATTTATCGAAAAATAAAAGATTTATATCTCATTGCTCATTAATTCAAAAATTAAAAACAGAAAAAGATATCGATCCAAATATTAAATCTCAGGCGCCAACAACGAGAAAACCGTTGATACCAAGCAACGATGCATACGAGCCACCAGCAGCAATTCAAAACGCGATGCTGACTAAAGACAAGAAGCCCTTCACGTACACGCCTGGAATGGGCGGGAAACTGGACCTTTCCCAAATTCGAAGCCCTCGAATGGCGCGCAGGGTAGCAAAAAACGCCAATGATGAGGGAATCGAAGGTCCTCCGAAGTCAGCACTTGAATCGAAGCCGACACCAGCGCCCAATACAACGAATTTATTCATTCAACCTCAAGTAGCGATACCTGTCTTCCCGACCAATATTCCGGCTCAACCCTCGGTCAACAGGACACCTTCCACACCACCTGCTAACAGGATTCAACCTAGTAGTAAGTATTGGTTCATTCATTTTTTTTTTATTCAATTTTATTGAATTTTTTATTTAATTATTTTTTGAATTTTTAAATCTTTTCCTATCACAGAGAATAATATAATGAATATACCAATAATTATTTATGGTTTCAGCTCCAGAAAAGCAACCAGAGTCGCCGAAAGCCAAAGTAGAGACCAAAGTAATCCCCACAATCGCAGTTCAGCCGAATACTCCTGAGAGTCCAAGCACTCCAACCCAAGTGACTTTGACAAAGGCACCAACACCGTGGCTCCAGAACAAGAATAAACCACAAGAAGAATTACCTGAGTGGGCAAAACGATCTAGCGTGAATAAACAAAGCTCAGTTGAGAGTCCAACATCACCTCCAGTTTCCTCATCTTTGATTCAACAACCTCAATCACCTCAATGGCAACAAACTCAGCAGAGGCAGCAACCAGTTCAACAAAGGCCTCAATCTCTGCCACAAATTCAACAAAGACCGGTGCAGATTCAGCAACAATCTCAACAATACCAGTACCAACAACCTCAGGGTCAACAATTCAATCAGCAACAGAAACGTCCTTTCTCTGGTCCTCCTGTAACACAACAGACTAATCCTCAGACTCAGCATCAAGAACGTGTGATACCTATTCGAGTGAGTGTTTATTATTAACTAAAATATAGTAAAATTTCTAAACATTCATTATATTTTATTGGAAATAGATATTAATTTTTTCAAAATATAAAATAATTTATACAATAAAAAAACTGTTCCATTATCCAAAAATTCCTTTATAACAATCTTGTCTTTTGTTTGAGTAATGGAAGTTCTACTGTTATTTGAAAGAAATAACTTATGCTAATGGTTTATTTCTAGATTGAAGATAGGCCGTCTGTTTTCGACGTGAAACCGGAACCTGGCCATCATCAGTTCAAGCAATCGAGTCCGCACCAACAGAGATGGGGTCAGCCAACTGTTCAGAATCAGAGTCAAGTACGGAATCAGATGCAGAATCAGATGCAGAATCAAGTGCAGAATCAAGTGCAGAATCCAGTGCAGAATCAGATGCAGTCTCAATCGACAGGTGGCGCGTACATTATACCTATCATGATTGAAGGAAATGATAAGAAGACTGGTTCAGCAATTACTTCGAATACTTACTCGCAACCGATTGTCAGGAATAATGTGCCTAATACTGAGAATCAGAACACGAGAGTGTAAGTTGAACAATTTTTATGTTGAGTCGTTAACTATTATAAGTTTTGCAGATATATTTATATTTTACACACAGTTAATTTCTATCAACTTCAATCATTAATTTTGTCTGCAATGCAATATAATTCAAAATTTAATTTAATCTTTTATTGAATCCAAATTTTAGAGCGAGCCAACGTATTATACCTGTACAAGTCCAACAGTCGGATTCCGTTCCGGTTCAGTCTCGATCCTTTAGAGTTCTTCAGAAGATCACAGATACGGACACGGCAAACGATGTGGACACTGAACAGATGCGAAAACTTCAATTATCGGAGGACGATAGGATTTTGATGAATAAATTCAAGGAGCAAAGTACGATTTAACATTATAATAAATAAAATTATAAATTGTTTAATCAATTTGATTTTTGTTACCTTTTTTTAAACAGTCGACAACGAATCTTCTCTCCATCACGAGGAAGATCCGAGATATCGTGGTGGGGCCATACCCTCTCGAGCCTTCCGCTTCTTGCAGACTATGACGGAATCTGGCGATGCTCCTGTTGTGAACACGAGTAAGTTTTATTCAAAGATGTAATAGAGACAAATATTTTATTATATTCAAAAGAGATAAGTCACTGAAATCTTGTATTACAGCGCAACGACCACCGTCAGCTATTAATAAGAAGCAGAACAGGAATTCGAAGACTTTTGGTGAGTAAATCTCTCAATTAACTTTTGATTTTCATGATATATCTAAATCTTCTTTTATGTAATTCACAATTTAACGATCTTTTAATATAACATTTTGTTTATAGTGATTTTATTAAGAAAATATTTTGTTCAATATAATTTTGAACTTTTAAATGCAATTCTATAATTTTAGAATTTGTCAGTTTATTTAATTTCTTAAAATGTAATATTATAGAAGAAATGCAAGCAAATCTACCACCAAGCGAACAGCAAGTTCCAGAGCCAAAGAAATACATGGGCAGCGCAATTCCCTCCAGATCTTTCAGGATATTACAAGCGATGACAGCGCCGGAAAGTGTCGGTGAGTATCGATCCATGAAATTAAAAGACATCATAGAATTTAATAAATTCTTAATTTCTTTTTTTCCAAATTCAAAAAAAAAAAAAAATAAATAAATAAAAGAAAAAAGAAAAACGCGGTTCAACAACATGTTCATAATTCACGCAAGAACACGCTACTCGTTCATGATGAATTAATCGCAACAAGCTTCTATTGACCCTTGTATACATTAATTTTCAGTGACAAGCGTCTTTATAATTTCTAATTTAATGATTAAAAACTTGAAGTAACGATTGCGTGCCGTCGCTAGAACGTCCCCGAATCCTGTGTTCACAGGAATAACGAAAATTCCTTGGTATATCGTTCAGCTCGATTGAAACACTTTTCACTCTTCTATTTTAAAAATTATTTTGTTAAAGAGAAATATATGGTGTGTTGTAAATTACAATCATAATTTCTGTATACTTAATTAGTGACACAAATTAATCATCGAGCAACGATGAAATATTACGAAATTTGAAACAAAAATTATAAAAATTGTGATTACTGTTGACATAGTTTTTAAAGATGAATTATTCAAAAACATGGTAGGTGAAATTATCCATCTATTTTCGTCGAATAGTATTATAATGATATATTAGTAATCAGATATTCCTTGTGTTAGATAACCAAGAAAGTTCTATTTTTCCTTTTAGGATAAAAAAATATATTACAAAATAAATAATTATATTGATTTATAATTGAATAACTATTAAAACTTAAAATTTGAATTTCTTTGAATTATTTGAGCTATTCTTTGAGTTATATATTTAGTGCGTTCAATCACAATGAATTCAAAAAATATATTCAAAAAATTTATCATAAGATCCATAAAAGAAAATTTCTTGTTTTCATTCTTCTTTTTGTTAAACAAATTATTAATCAAATTATTAATTATTTCCAAAAATAGAAAGTATTAAAGAAAAGTTTTTCATTTTCAGAAATTATAACTTTTATAAAATCGATATTTATAAATTTTTTTCTGTTATCAAAATAGAAAAAAATATTTTAACAAATAAAATATTAATTTTCTATATTTCTTGGTTATCTGATGACATCGTCCGATTATCGTCATAAATAAAATCGATTTTTCAAAAATAGTTTCTATTATACGATAATAAAAATTAATGTACAAAAAGTATGGCAAGCTACGATGGACTTGGGTAACTTAACCGGGAATGTTGCATGTACTATTAATCGATTTCACATGTGTTTAATTCTCGCTGGGATTTTAATATTATTACAAGTGATCACTTGCATGTAAATGGATATATTTACGAATATTCTGGACTATAATCATCTTGTCCAGAATATCCTAAGAAGCATGTCTTCCTATTCGAGCGTAAATGATCGCTCGTTCAATGGTCGAAGATCATCGACTGGTTTTGCGTTCACGACAAAATTTTCGATCGTTTCCTTTGAACACAGGATCTCACACGATTTTTTTTTCTTTCTCTCTTTCTCTCTTTCGTTTCGTGATTACAATTCGTCGCTTAATCCTTTGCCCAATCTCGCTTGTCCATCGATTTTTCAGAGCCAATTAGAAGATCATACGTGTTAGACATTTATTTTGAAAATATTATAATGAAAATATTATAATAGGTTTTAAAATATATAGAATTTTTTTTAATTTTAAAGATTCAATTACTAATTTTTAGCATATATAATTGAAGAATCGTGATATATTTTTTAATATTCTTTGTAAATAATGATACAAATACGATAAAAGTGTGTGCTAAGCAAACATTCGAATTCCTCAGTTATCGCATGAAAAATGCTCGAAATATTTTCTCGATAATTATTCCGATAATATGAGATAATATCTTATGTATATATGTACATATGTCGAAATCTGCATTTCTTATCTAATCTTTTATCTTTTTACTTTTTTATTAAAATTTAATGATTCATACTGTGAAGAGAAATAAAAGTTTTGAAAATTTCGAAATCTCATAAATTTCTATATTCAATTTATTTGCAATTTAAAAATTATATAATGAAAACGAAATAAATGTCTATCACTCGTTCTTCCATTCCCCAAACCAAAAAATTAAAAAAGAACCCAAAAAAACTTCGCATAAGAAAAAATACGAAGATCAAAGCACAAAAAAAAATAAACGCAGAGAAAAAGGAGAAAAAAAGGACAAAAGGGAAAAACGCAAGACCACATCACCATCCCAAAAATGGGAACAGTTGAACTTCTTTGTCTGAATGCATTCTGCTGTTTGTTGTAGCCACGCAAGAAAATCGTCAAGCAGATTACCACTGCCAAACAGAGAATAACGTGCCGGGCAATCAGCAGGGTGTCTTCCTCTCTCCTAGTCCGCCATTTTGGACCCACGACAGCGGTTGGTGGGGTTATTATCCTCTTCTTTATCCTGGGATTTCAAATGAACCTTATCCATATCATCCTGATAATACAGCCTATATATATTTTCCCATTTACAATCAAAACTGTCCATCTTACCCTCAATTTGATTCAACCAATTGTAAAAATTCTTATTCTAATGTTTATCCACCTTACATGGTTCCTGTTTCTTTACAAAATTGTAATAATTTTAATCACAGTTGTGATCAAGCCAATAATGACATGGATGTATCTAAAATTCCTCCTATGAATATTCTGGATATTCTAGAAAATATTCAAGAGAATAATGAATTGGAAAATAAAGTTTTAAAAGAAAATAATAATGCAAATTGTCAAGAACAATGGGAAAAAGGAAATGATATGGCCAGAACTGCTAGTAATAATAGCAGAGATAGTGACTGTACTACTGCAATGAATATCACTGATGAAGAAGAATTTCCTGATGAAATAATTGCATCAGAGGAAAATAAGAATGATCAGCAGTCTGAAAAATCAGAAATTAAATCTTGTCCCAATGGAAGTCTCAATGTGAATGTTCCAAATTATACTTACATTGATACTAGTGATTCTAGTGATTCTAGTGATTCTACTGATTCTAATAATTCTACAGATTCTGAATCACAATCTGACAATGAATCCATTATTGAATCATCTAAAAGTGACAATAATTCTGATGATTCTTCTTCTGATAGTGATGATTCTGATTCTTATTTGGCCTATTCCACTGGGCTGAATCCTCATGGAAGATTGGATAAAAATGACAATGAGAGAAATTCAATGAGAGATTATTCCAATAAAGAATATTATAATGAAGATCAAGAAGCATCTTCCAAAAACAATACTGATTCTGAATCAGATATGGAAGAACAAATGGAAAAGAAAGAAAAAACAGATACCAATACATTTCCTCATAAATTAAGTGTAATTTATGAAGATATTGAACGTCCAGACTCTGAAAGTCCTAGACCACAAATTAAAAATGTTAAAGATTGGAATAAGACACCTTTTGAAGCTACTGATGATCCTCCTGATGACTCTGATGCACCTACTGTCAGCGTGAGTTTGCCACTGAGGTTCAAATTTTCTGTATCTGAAAATAATGAGGATGTGACTACTGTAATTGTTGGAGATAGTACTATTAAGCCTGATAGAGATTATAATAAAGAAGAAAAAGAAAAGAAGAAGAAATTAGAAATTCAAGAAAATAATAATCATTTAGAGAAGATCAATGATGTATCTGCGAATTTTCTGATAAAAAATAATACCAATGTAAATTTCACTGTTAAGAAAGAGGTTAAGAAAGAAAATTTCGATGACAAGCGAAAGGAAAAGAATCATTCTAGAATAAAAGAAGATGAAGATCCTGTTGTACCTCACGTGAACTTTACTTTAAGAAAAATTCCAACTAGATTTAATAAAATTAATTTCGAAGAGACAGTAGAAACGGAGTTCACAATTAAAAGAAAGTCTAGTGTGAAGAAAGAGGAAGATAAAACGATCAAGGCTCAAGAAGAACACTTAAACAGTACCAACGTGAAAAACAATGATTCAGTTGGTAAAGAATCTTTGAACAAAGAGAATAACACTGCTTATATTACAAGAATAAAAGAAACCAATTTAGAAACTCACGATATTAATAGAAATATTTTAAAACCGGAAGTGATCGTTTCAGAGTGCAAGTGGACAGACGATTCAAATAAAGAATATTCTAATAAATTCCAAAATACAAATACTAACCTAAAAGATGAAATATCTTTAAAAAACAATAATTCTTTAAAGAAGAATAAAATCGAAGAAAATATCGACGAGAAGGCAGGAAAAGAATCAAAGCATCTATTAAATGTACAGAATTCTCGGGAAGAAACAGACGATGAAGATAGTGGCGTCACTTCAGACATGAGTCGTATGATTTCAGAAGTAGACACAGATTCAGAATGTACTTCCTCTAAAAATAGAAAATATCAAAGAACTCAAACTCATTCGAGATTGTTCAGACTTTTGAACGATGATTCGATTCTTCCAGAAGATACAGAAAAAATTAACCAATCTTCATCAAGAGAATACTTAAGTCTTCCTCTGAAGAGCAACAATTTTAATTACGACGAAAATTATTGTTCCAATTATTCTAGTGGTGTGACTTCTCCCGAATATTCACCCATCAGTGAACAATCATGGAAAAGACTGCATGATGCGGATCAAAATGGTGATGTGTATCGTCGACAAGATCGAACTTCCTGCAAGGAGGACCCATATTATCAAGCATGGAAAACGCCTAAATCTTCAACTTCTGTATTGGACCATGATGTGGTACCATCATTAGCCTTCAAGGTACTCGAAAGTCGAAGGCCACCCTGGTCTTACAAAGTGAACGTCCTTTGTCCTAGAATCAAAAGCACAAAAAGCGTGCCACAGACATTGAAAACAGGCAAACAAACGAATTCCACGGTATCCTCTTCTAATAATTCCTCATCCTTTCAAGCTAACCTGAAAAACGACCATTGCTGATGGCCCGGGGCAGAATGAGGCCGCGTTTGGCCGCGAGCAACCACGGACGAGCCTCGCGCAACTTTTCTCTAGATTCGCAAGACTGGGCTGACTATATGCCCGGGGGGGCTACAGGCTACGTGGTTTTTTTTTCTATCGGTACATATGGTTTCCATATATTCATCTATTCGCATTTCTTCCTGATTTTTTGTATATTTTATTTGTTTTCTTTTTTTTTTATTTTTTCGTAATTGTATAAAAAAAGGCTCATATAGCTCATAAATTTTAATAATTTTGACTCGATGAGATGAAAAATTTATGCCCTTTTTTATATAATTATTTAATTTTTTTTAATTTAATTTTTCTTCTATTATTCTAATGTTTTTTTCTATTTTTTTCTTTGTTTCTTCTTCTTTTTCTATTTTATTCGTATTTTAAGTTTGCGTTGCTCTCGAAGGCCACTGATCCTGTAAATGGATAATCATTTTTATTTTCTTTTTTTTCGCAATTTTCTTCACTCCGCGAACGGATCGATCCTTTCAGTCATGATTCGAAATTTCATTTTTTTTTATTTTTCTTTTTGTTTACTCTTTGCTCAGATTTGCCACTAGCTTATTGGTTAAAATGTTTCCTGTGTCTTGATTTTTTGTAATCATTTTCGTTTTTGTTGATTTTCTCTTATCCTTTTCTTCATTCTTCAATCAATCGAATTATTTCGATCGATAACGAACGAGATAAATTGTTGTTTATGCTATCACAGTGTTTTTTAATATCAAAATGTTTATATACAAAGTTTATTATTCACATTCTATTTCAGAATTCAAAAGTGTGAACGAAACGAAGGCAAAATGTGACTTATTTTAATCAATTCGTAACAATTACTAACAATATTTTTGCATTGAATATGTTCCCAATAAAAATTTTATACATGTATCGTATAATTGATCGTAAATAATGCAAATCATGCTTTTACTATAGCAATAAATTAGCATGCATGCATGCATAATGCATTGTTTCATTTGCCATCGATTAATAGCGCGACGATTATATCGCAATTTATCGAATCGATTGTTTGGATTTATCAAATCGATTAGAATTGATTATCGTTAATTAAATTAAGAAACTTGATGATCGATAATCGGTCGATCGTTAATAATTATTTATTGAAATAATTTATATTTCATTACTTTGATTAGTTTAATATTATATTATAAATTATTGCTCGAATAATGATTATTTTTTATTATTGTTTTACTAATATATTCAGATATGTGTATTCAAATATTATTAATTTTAGTGTATTATAGTGTATTAAAATTTAAATGGAAGTCATTTGCTATATAATATTTAAAGTCAAAAAATAAGATGCTATTTTTAAATGTTTTTGAATGGTTAACTACATGGTTAACAAACTAAAAAAATATAAAAATAAATAGAATAAATTAGAATTCTTCATAAAAATCGTAGCGCAATGAAGTTCGACGTTTTGATATGCTCGCAATTATTCGATTCACCATTTTTTATAAAATTTATAAAATAGGATAATAGATTATAGAAATGACATCGTTTTTTTCAATTTTTAGGTCCAGATGCAACGGATTACTGAGCAAGGACGAGTGCTTCCTTTGGAAACATGGCATTGCTAGTGTGTTTTTCTTTTTTTTTTTTATTTTTTATTTTGTTTACGATTCATAACGATTCGTTTACACGACGACCATCGATACCGTAGGATATTTTCCTGAACTTTCCCATGTCGCCCATGTAAGGTTTCGTCTTGCCCCCATTCACTATCTTCTTTGTTTTATTTCTTCCTTTTTATTCCTAATCCCATATGTGTGCACATTGTTAGGGGATAAAGATTCTTAGGAAGATCGATCGATCGTTCAAACGATTGATTAATAATGTTTATTAACTATATTAAATCACATGACCAATTTTTAACTTTTAAAGATTGAGAAGAGTTGAAAAAATAAATGGTCGTAATTTCGATTTTCATTGTATGCCATTTTCGTTCGAGAGGAAATTTTATCTAATTAAGACGCGAGATGTATTTTTATGGATACCGTCATGTTACCTTCTAATCTGTCATTGTGCTATATTTATGTAAGTTGTGTAAAATAAATTATTTGTAAAGTTCATTTTAATCTTCATTTCGAATCAGTCTGTCTATCTTTGATACAATCTTTCATCAAGGTAAGAATAAATACATAAAAAATTGAAAAATAGTTTTCTTTTAAAATATCGTTGACAAAATTTATCTTGATCTAATAATAATAAAATATGGAATGTAGATTATCACAGAGTGATATAAATGCGTTTCCTGTGCATGATATATGCAATGATAGTCCATAATCCAGGTCCCCAAATGGCTTCGCATAAACGCAATGCTCGACTGTCCATATTACCGATGCTCCAATGGAATGGAAAATTTTGGTAGCATACCATGTGGCCGACGTATAACAGTAAACCATTCATGCCTATAAATAATCGAACTAATACCAATCGTTTCTTCATTCGAAAGAACAAATTGCACGCCAAAAAATTTTTTCTTAATAAAATTTAATTTTCTGTTATTTTTTTAAATGTATAACATAATAATGCTTATTTTATGAGAACTTACAATTTTAAAAACTATTTTAAATTTTAATTATCTAAAAAATTTCGAACTATAGTAAAATCAAATATTGAACAAATAATATTAATAGTAAATAAATAAGAAAAAATTTTAAATATGAAATTGAAGAAAGATCCAAGTTATATAAAAAAACAATGATATTTATGAACCATATATCAGACTTTTTTCCATAATGGAATTAAGTCTGTAAACAGGTATTAAATTGTTTTGGCGTAAAACCTGTTCAGAGTTGCATAATTATGTGAAAGTTGAACGTGTACCAGGAATTCGAAAAGGTCCACCGTTCCATACTTTAATGACATCCACGAGTAAGTAACAAGCGGAGAGAAAAGCCAGAGAAAAAGAAGTTGTCACGAATACGAATGATAATGACCTGAAATCAACAACAGTTTTTTGTATTGCAATTTATACAATATTCTTTTTTTTTTTTAGAGACATACCATAGCTTCTTGTTAACAGGAATTATATTGCTAAAATGAAGAATGCATCCTATACAACTGAAAAATGCAGCCCATGCCAACCATCTTATTACGCGTTCTTTCCAATCTTTATAAGTCATCATTATTATGCCAGCGTGTAGGCCAAGAAAAACTTGGAATGTCGTTGTGAGAGTACCTTGAGAAAAAAAATACAAAAAAATAAAATATTTACAATTAGAAATAATTAAAAGAAGTCAAAGATAAAGTGAAGAAAAAAAATCTTGTGGTTATAAGAAGTTATATTAAAAAAAAATAGCATTGCAATGATATCATGGATTATTTTAGAAAAAAAAAATTTATAATATACCCAAAATTCCTTCAGGATCATACGGTCCAGAATTATAAACCGTGGCTGAATGATGCAAATGAGGTTCTTTGAGTATCATTCTGTCGATGTAACCCGCTGCTCCACCCACGCAATCAAAATATTTCGCATCATCGTGAAGACCACCAGGACCAAGGTAACCACTAGCAAGTAAAAATAATTGGTTTATTTTTGTAAAAAGATGAATGTAATTCATTGAATTATACGTACATACGTGGGACATCCTGGAACTTTCAAGCAGAATGTGATGACACAGTGAACGCCCACAATCACCAGCATTACACACCATTGGGGAAGAAGCAGAAGAAAATCTTGCACTTCTTTTAACATTGGAGACTAGATATGAAAATTAAAAATTTACCAATATATATGAATCATATTATTTATTTTTACAAAAAAATTATAACCTAAAAGCCACTTACTTGTGTCTTCTTGGGTTTTCTTGTCATCAAGCAGAAGTATATCAGAGCAACGATGAAATAAGTAATGCCAAATCGTTGGAGAACACCAAATATGCGAATAGTTTCTAGTTGAGGACCAGTGCTCACAGTATTCAGAGACAATCCAATTAAAAACATAAGGATGCTCCTCTGTAACATACAGATAAACTAAAGTTACTTTTTAATTTAATAACTTCTTCAAATATAAATTTCCAAATTCTTATTATTTCTATTCTTCACATTTAATTTTTATAATTCTTTTATTAATCACCTTCATGATTCCATACAATATTACATGTCTCGGTTGCATGCGTTTCATCTGACTGGCCATGGCAATGGGAATGCACACTCCCATAATCCATATGAAACAAGGAAACAGCAAGTCACCCGGAAGTAATCCATTCCAAGTCGCATGGCCAAGGATCCTATAACCACCTGATCCATCGTTCACGAATATCATCAATAATGTACTCGCTCTGCAATGTTCAAAATTTATTATCTACTGTGTAGAACAATATAAAAATAAATAGAATAATAAAAGATCTACCCTCGAACCGTGTCGATCGCCTTCACTCGACGTTTCGAGGGTTGTTTCATCGCAGTTTCATCCAATTGACGTTTCATACATTTCTTCTTGCACACGTTCCATAACGATTTTAAGCCAGAAAGACCGAATAGAACGAGTATCAATACTCCAAAAATGACGAGAAGTTCTAAAAAAAATAATTGCAATTCTGAATTCAATACACGTTTCTTTTCTGTAATCTAAATCGATATATTATCTTAGTTAATTTAAAGAGTTTAATTGAAAGATAAATACTATCTGCAGTCGTTTGGTAAACACTTTATTCATTTTATCTCGTATAATAAAATTTTTCTCTGATTTAAATAGATCGAATCTTTGAATCGAATCTAAAAAAGATTTATCGATAATAATAATCGATAATAATAATAAGTAAACTATTTAATAAATTGATTAAAAAAATTCCATTTCAAATAATAAATAATCTTACCTGTGTAAGGATAAGTTGGCGTATTCAGAGTTTTTATATTACAGCTTCGATTCTGTACAGACAATTCGTATACGCCGAACTGTCCCAAGTTCGGTGTTAGCTCGCAGATCACGTTGCTGTAACACGAGAAGTACACGTAAATCGTGTACATAGGATTAGCATTTTATCGTGTTACTTTTCTACCTGCGCGTTTTATAAATGTACCTGGTATTTTTTGCGGATATAAATTCGTTAGGATCTTCAGCATCCAAAATTCTGAAACTCGTGGATCTGACTGTATCGACTATCACGCTGGAAGATAAATTTGATACGATCTGCTTGGTTCTAGTATACGGACACTGCAACGAAATCATTTTCGTAAAAAAAAAAAAAAAATTATTCACGGTAGAATATTTAAAAATAAATATTTCTGGAAAAATTTAATTTCAAAATTAATAATTTCAAAATTAATATGGGGAGTATTACAGCAATAGAAGAAAAAATAAATATTAAAAGGATTAATGATAGATTTGTATTATATACGCGTGTAAATATGTTGATTTAAAATTATACCATTATTAAATTAACTTTCCACTTCTCAAGTTGAACAATCGCCAATCATCATTTATTTAATGAATTTTAATATTTCTTTTTGCATCCTAGCAGATTTGCAAAAATCTGTTCAAATAAAAATATTCATAATTCTAAGATTTCCTTCAAATTTTCAACAAAATCTTTTTTGATAAAAATTTCTGGAATCAGATTCGTATCAGAAAGTAGTGCACAAGTATGCAAAGCACGAAATGCATAAAAAAGAGCGTGTCCTTGCGTGACTCACCAGCGCGCAATCCGCGGAGAGCAGGTAGAGCCAGGCATTCGAATCCTTGTCGTTCGTTCGTAGATTGATGCAAGCCTCGTCGTAACCGAGTGTAGATTCCTCATCGCAAAACCACTCGTCCATGGTCTCCATTTTAATCTGGGAACGTAACAAACGTTGAACATGGAAAATATCGCGGTTCACGATTCGAAAGGCGCGCGAAGAATCGTGGTTGATGGTTTAACACGCATCCTTAATTTGAGAGAAATGTTTACCAGCAAGTAAGCGGTTCTATTTAGCAATCACAAGAAAATGGAACGATAAAAATTTCTTTAATTTTTTCATGTCATCATTTTACGAGCGAAACTTTATACGATCGTGGAAATTTGAAAATTTTTTATTTGAATTTTATGTAAAATTTAAATTTCTTTTAACTTAAATTTTTGAATATTATTTTTGTATCTTTTAGAAATACATTAATTTTGAAAATGGATAATTTCTACTTCAGTCAATGTTAAAAAATTGTAACTATGTAATTTTTTTAAAAATTAATTAAGGAATTATTATTATTATTAATATAGAAAGATTTAAGAATCATATTTTTCACGGAAGAAATTTAGTTTAATCGGTATAATCGATCGCATTATTTTTTTAATCCTCATTGTCTTTTGCTTGATGTATCATGCTATAATACAATGTCACATCAAGGTCGTTCAAGGTCTCCAATCAAAGTAACACACAAAGATGTTCTCCAATTTAAAATCCACTTTTATATCAATATCTTTCATAGTTTCTTTAAACATAATACACTTACAGTAATTACATAAATTTTAGAAAATCTTGGAATAATCTAGAAATACTACTCTACTAATTCTATGATGCTTCGAAATCTGTAAAATATAATAAAAAATACAAATGTTTTCACTATACATACATTCACAAAACAAAAAAAAATTTTAAAAAGCATAAAAGATAAAATACTTGCTATGCTTCTCTAAATTAAAAAAAAAAAAATAATAAAAATAAAAAAATAATAAAACACAAAATACAACATACCTGATATAATTTTTCAAAATCACAAATAAATATACATTACGCGAGTAAAAAGACAAGTCGAGCAATCGTTACAGCACGGAAAGCAAAGACTAATCGCTCGTACGCGAAATATATAATAAGCCAAACACTCGCCAAGACGCGCGCGATGATTCCTAATGGTGATTATGCGTTTAACGGTATAGTATATAATATATCAATGATTTGACCGACAACCGATTTCCTCCTGTTAAATATTGCGTGGACGCGGTTTGTAATCAGGCACGAGTTGGCACGAGAGTAGCGCGACAGCTTTTTAATATTGTAACCGGCGAACAGACGGGCAACTGACTAGCCGCGAATCACGTGGGTGCATCGACTGACATTTCACCTGGCATTCAGCAAGAATTTCGCCGCGGCATCACGATCCTCCGCATACAGTATCAGGCCGCCTTGAAACCGACTTTTCATCCGGTAGACCTTGGAACACGTTTCAACGATCATCATTCTTCGCTTACGGTTCACGAAAGTCGTATAATCCTTGAACGTAACAGATGTTCCATATAACGGAATCTTCTCGTGAGATATTTTCATAAAATTTTATGAGCAATACGATTAAATTGTGGTTTTTTTTTTTTTTTGTAATTAATAATGAACTTTCTTGGTTTGGTTTCTGTTATTTTTGTATTTCGTTAAATTTTGAGAGAAAGATGCCAAGGTATAGATAATAGGGATTCTGAGGAAATAGATTTGATAGTGGACAATAGAAAATCAATATGGATGATCTGAATTGCAGGATTCAATAAAAATTCTAAATATCTGATACTTGATAGGAAATTTCTTAATTCGCAGGGATCCATGGAATGAGGACACAATCTGTAAAAATTACATTGACATTAGATTTATAATATTTATTAAAAGAGATTAAAATGAAGTTTAAAAATGATTTGACGATTGTTATATTTTTTAAATATATTTTCGAAATATATAGATAAGAGATATTTACTTATGTTATCACTGATAAATTTAATTGATAAAAGAATAGATTAAGAAAAGCATTAGTATGGATGAGATGAATATCATAGGTGAAACATGGTATAGATCTATCTTTTCATAATGAAAGCATTATTATATCTATATATCAGTCTTTCAAAATTATCAATAATTAATAATTTTAAAAAGTTGATAAATTTTCAAATTGATTAATTTTTAAAATTCTTTTATTTTAGCTAATTAAAATACTTTGACATATATATTTATATAACATACATGTAATGATTTAGATAAATAAGTGCTATTAAACGTATAAGAGTTGGCCAAATTATAAAATAAATTTGATATGTGCAGTTCAGTTAAACTGATTCGCATAAATGTTTCAAATGTTATTCTCGAACGATTTCAAAAAGTTCAACAGTTTGGGATTATTATAAAGACAACAATTAGTACCGAAAAATTCCAACATCACACAAAAAAAAATATTTTCTCAAGATAAATATATTGGTCAACTATCTCATGTTATCCATGTACATTATAATTTATAAATAAGAACAAACATAAGTGATCATTTATCAGGTTGATAGGAATTTCTTTTTTTTTTCAACTTTATGCCCATATAAAAATTTACGACGCGATGATGTATGTGATATGACTGTAACTCAATCAAAATTGCTTATTATTCATTTTTCATAATAATATGTATGCTTTTTTTCCTTTAATTTGAATTACATAAATTTTTCAAGTAAAAAATAATATACATGAATGTAAATATGTGTCACAATTACTATGTTCTTTAGTTGCTTGTAATATATCGTGCATTTCTCATAATAACAAAAGGAATGTATCCAGTGTAATATTGTGTCCATAAAATTTTATATAACATTAATAACTTTCTACATTATTTAATACTGTGTAATAGATTATCTTTTAATGCAAAAAAAAAATTTACATGAATTTCGATATTATCCACAACTTAGACCTTACAAACTAAATGTGTTTTTTCAATATTAAAATTAAGTTTTATTCTTGTTTAAAAGAAATGCATGTATTAATTTCATTCATTTTCTCTTACATTTTTTTATTTTCATATATAATTTAAATGAGTTTTTTAAATCTTTATTCCTAAATTTTCTGTGTACAAGCAATTTTAATATTGCAACAATATTTTTATCAAAATCGTCAAAATCATTATGTGTTAGGATTGAAAAACTTTCAATTTAATATTGCTATTTATCTAAGTAATACGGCAAAAATTGAATTAAAATTTTAATGAACAAATTCTTTCAATAAGTATAAATAATTAGAAATATTTTAAAATCTTCAAAATTAATATTTATCACTTACTATATCAATCAGCTATTTCTCCTCGTGTCGTAATAATGGAACATAAATAATCCTGATTAACAATGCATATAAATTAATCAACATATGATTTTTATATTTTAAAATTATATGATTCAATCTAATGAATTTGAAATATGTTACCTTAATTATATTATATGATAGATTCATGTACCATATTGGAATTCATCATACTCGCTACTATAATGAATCCTATATTAATTTACAATTTGAATATATGGAACAAACAGCTTAAACGGCCTATGTAAAAATTCATGGACCAAGAAGAATATCATTTTTCAATTTTGATGCGAAGATATATAATATATTCGCATATGAATTATAATATTTGATATTCTTCATTTCATCCAATAGTAACTACATATGTGTAAATATAATATACACCTATCTACAACAAAATTCTATTCAATAACATAACGTCGCTATGCTCCTTGTAATTCTTGTACCTTCTTACATGAAGGTGTTTCAATATTTTTAGCTTTGAAAAATAATTCTTGATCTCCAAAGTTTCTTGCTTTCCACATCATTGTTTCTCCTAGGGATTAAAGAAACAATGTATCCAAAGATATATATTTCTCGACTATTAAAGCCTTTTTTCATTATTTCTAAGAGCAACAATACTCTGCTATATTGGGGCATTTAAAAATCAATTAAATAAAATACTTACTATAACTTTTCTCTCTAAAACAGGCATGTCTCAAATTATTCAGGTATTCTTCTTCAACAGAAATTTCTAGTCTACGTAAGCTGCCTTGATATTCAGTATGAAAGTTTTCTTTGACATAGTAGGGCACCTTTAATCCTTGAGTTGTTCTCAGTACAGAATATTTTCTGCGCACAAATTTAAAATGTGCATATAATCCCTTTCATACAAATCAATCACTCTTGTTTGAAATAAAATATACCAGAGACAAAAGCCGAGAAAATAAAGCATAAGTAATAGAATTGAAACATCACATAGAATTATTAATTAAAACTAATTTATTCATCGTTATTCGTCGATAAATATTTGTAAATACACTTACGCGTTAGAATGCAAGCTATATACAGGATCTGATATAAAGAAACTGCTCATCATAGTTAACAATATTAATAATAGCACAGGTAACATTTGAAGGAATGTGGTATATCCATTTGCTTGCTAAAAATCATAATATTTGTTAAAATAATCATATATTTAATTAAAGTATAAATAAATATAATTTTTTTCATACTTGAGAGTGAGCATGTTGAGCTTGTGCATCTTGTTGTCTTGCCCATCTACCAGAACGTCTCATATAAAATTCTTGTTGTGGAAATCCACCTCCAAAGAACATACTAAATAATTCTTCTGCTGTTATGTCAGCTAAAAAAAATTAATTTAATCAGTATTATTTAGATATTTATAAGAATTTATGATATGAAATAATTCTATAAAAAAAATAAACACATTATAATAATCTTACTTTCAAATCCTCTTGTATAATTATAATGTGAGTGATTTTGATGAGCTTGAGCACTTTGAAGTCTTTCTTCCTCAGGACCATACATATCATATTGCTTTCTCTTTTCGACATCAGTCAATATAGCAACAGCATTTCCAATAGCTGTGTATATGTAAATTACAATTTGTTATAATAAATTTGTTGCAAATATATTTTAATTATCATTTACCTTTAAAGGCTTCAGCAGCACCTGGTGCTTTATTTTTATCTGGATGTAACTGAAGTGCTAATTTTTTATATGCTTTCTTAATATCACTATCAGTTGCATCTTTATTTACACCCAAAATTTCATAATAATCTTTACATTTTTTGATTCTGCAAACAAATAAATTATATTGAAGTTTATTAATAATAAGAAAAAATATTAGATTATAAATATCAGAATAAAATAATAAATTTTATTATTATATTTTAAATATTTTGTTTACATTGATGTTTTTAAAATTTCAGAATTTTGTTTAATTAATTAATTAATATAAATACCTTTTAATGTGTTCAAGTTGCTCCTTTGTATAATCACTAGAAGCTTGAGTATGTGTGGTTTCTTTAGATGCAGTTTGACGTTTCCTAAGTGTAGGTTCAGATTCAGACTTTTGATTTTGTTTTGATAACATTGTCACTTTTGTTAAAACATCTGTAAATATTTATAATTAATGATTATAATTAATAAATTATAAGTATTTTATATTTCATATAATTACATAAATTTTTTTTCATTATCAATTTTTTATTTTTATTTACATATATTACAATTTTTATTTATTCACTACTACTTTTTTTTAATAATAATTTACATAATGATAAATTCACATCATAATAGTAAATATAAATGAAATTTTATTTTTGTACAACTATAGAAATTGCTTTTTAAACTCAATAAACATTAAAATAATTTCTAAAAAAATAATAATGTATAATAAATATATAATAATTTTATAACATAATCTTGTTGAAACTCAAAAATACGGTGTAAATTTCTTTCAATGTAATGACAATTTTATGAATGGATAAAATAAAAAATAAAAAGCGATTGATTGATATTCTATACTGGTTGAAATAAATTTTTGTCAACTTACCTTCTGCTTTTTTCATTGGATATAGTTTTAATGCTTTACGTACAAATTTTTCTGCCTCCTCGTACTTTTTTTCTCGTAGATATAGTTCTGCAAGTTCCATACATCGCTCCGCCTCATCTTTATTACTATCCATGATTTTTTTTTTAAAGACCGAATTAAACTTTATACTAACGCAATGACGGAGCAAAATAGTAAATAGATTTAATCACACACTAATTCTCCGCCATAGCAATTTAATAAGTTGCGTCATGAACACGATACAAAGTAGAGCATTCGACTACGTGTAAGTGACGATACGTAGGTGCTGCTTATAATATACTGATTATTATTTCTGCTGACATATCTGACAATTTGACTCTAATATCAACCAATCAAAATGTCTACTCGAATGAAATTTATTTATAAAAAAACAATTTTATTAATAATAATAGAAAATGAATTATAAAAAAAAGTAAATAAAAAGACACAGTATCGATTTTTAAAACTTAATATTGATCTTTCTTTAATTAAATGAAATAACTTTTTATTTTTTATGTAATAAAAATTAATTATTTTATAATGAACAATTTTTAATTTTTATAAATGAAATAATAATTTGTCATAAAATAAATACTCTAACTTTGTATGTCAGGTTAAAATATTTCTGTCAATAATAACTAGTGTTTTTTGAATAGATATGTTTTGAAGACAATACTTGAAAATATTTCTTTATTATATATATATAATAGAATATTAATTAGAAATTTTTTGTCACATAATTTCTAAATATTTATATATTATAAAAAATGTAAGTATATATAATATGTTTAATTGATATTTAACTAGCATTTGTTTATAATGTACTTTGATTTTAAAAGGTTATCTTTTATTATTTTATAAATATTTATATTAAAAATAAATTATATGAATTATTTTTTTATAAATGTTTTAATATAATATTTATAAAAAAAATAATTTTAATAAATTAATTCATAATTTTGATGTATATTTTTTCATCTTTATAGAAGATGCAGAATATAAAACAATGTGTACGATTTATATCGTATAGATTACTTAAAACAAATAATTCGAATTTTCTATCTAGTATACAAAGATCATATTATTTTTTTAAGTCCGATGATGATAATCAAACAGAAGGTTTTCTTAAATACAATAATGTTGTTTTTCCTCCACAAAAACCAGATGAAGAAAAAAGGCCAGGTGTAAGTATAATTTATTAATAATTAAATAATTTTATTTTACCAATTAAATATAAGTATTTTCTAAATTTATATTTTACAGTATGTTTGTCATGTAAAAAAAAACATAAAATATAGTCCATTGAAAATGTGGTATATAGCTTCTTTTGTAAGAGGTATGTCTGTAGATGAAGCTGTTAAACAATTGAGCTTTTTAAAGAAAAAAGGTGCAGCTATAGCCAAAGAAGTGATCTTAGAGGCACAAAAGATGGCTGTGGAAGAACATGATATTGAATTCAAAAGTAATTTATGGGTTGGTCAGTATATTAATTATAAAATATATTCAAATATATTAGGAATATCATATTATTTCAATTAATTTTTCAGCTGAATCTTTTGCAACAAAAGGTGAAACATTAAAAGGAGTACGACGTCATGCTAGAGCAAGAGTTGGAATAGTACATTATAGATATACTAATTACTTTGTACGTTTAGAAGAAGGAAAACCACCAAAACATTATTACTTACCAGCACCTAAAAGTGGTGACGAATTATTGAAAGAATGGATGGAAGAAATGCATCACCGTAAAATATATAATTCATTATAATATGTATATAAATATATGTAAATAAATAATTCATTTTTTTTCTGAAGTTATTAATTGATATAAAATTCGTGTTATAATTAAAAAAATAAATTTTTATAAATATAAGATGTAAACATAATGTTACAATTAGAATTTATTTAAAAATTAATAATTAATATATTATAATAAATGTGAAGCAAATACATAAATTTATTTTATAGTTTCAACTTGGTTCTTCTCCAATGACGCCGTTTAGCATTATATCTAAAATTATATATATATATATGTATATATAATAATAAATAATAGATTAAATGAAAATACAAATATGTATTTTAATGATTTTTACCTAATAGTATTGCCAGTTCGCATTCTGACCCATTGCGGAATCGGTCTGTTTTGTTTTAATTTCTTAGCAAGTTTTCGTTTGATAATAAATGTTTTGTGAGCCGACTGAAATAAATAACAAAATTCATATATTTCTTAAATGTAATATTCTAATAATTATATAGATATATTTTATAGGATGTTAAATTAATTATTAGATTAAATAACTTTATTTCAACCTTACCATTTTGTCCGTATAGCAACTGATGAAATGGCCAAGTTGACTGCGTACTACACTAAACAGGATTTCCAATATTAAAATTTCACTATATAAAAGTTACCAAAACTACTAAATATTTAGTAATAAATATTAAATAAAATTTTTATATAAAATAAAATAATATATATTAGATAAATATTTTAAATATTATCATAAATATATAAATATAATATTAATTTTAATAATATTAATTTTAATATAATTTAACTAATAAGTTTTAGAATTTAAAATAATTAAAAATATTTAAATTTTATAATTTAGAATTATTAATGTTAATTTTAACAATTATTTAATAATAAAATTAATAATAATATTTAATAATAAAAAAAAATATTTTAGTTTCAAAATTAATATTATTTTAAATTGATTTAAAATATACATCTTTATAAATATGTGTATATTTTCACAATATATTTATTATATATTTATAAAATATATTTACTAAAATGCATCATATAAAAATTTTTATTTTAATAAATAAAATCAAATCTAGTTTATTTAAATAAAATAATTAAAATATTTATATTTTAAAACATTATATGTAACAATAAATTATATTATATATTTATATATTATATATCATCATATTATTTATACATATCTTTTTCATTATCATAATATATTTTATTTATATTAAAAAAATGTATTAAAAGAAATAGGAAATATTTTTTTATTTTTTGATTATTTGATTGATTGAACTTTAGATTTTATTATTACGATTTAGAGATATTGTTTTGATTATTTTTATTTTTTGATTATTTTTTTTTGATTGAACTTTGGACTTTATTATACAATTTAATTATTATAAAATTAACTTGAATTAAGTATTTCCTTAGTTATTGTTTAACTAAATATCTGAAACATTAAAAGCTGAAACATTAAAAATTATAAAAAAATGTTCGCTACTTATTTTAGAACATTTCGAATTGCAAATAAAGTGAGTATCAAGAGATTCAATTTTCTTGATTCTTATTTGTTTTAACCTTTAATTCTTAATTGATTAATATATGTAATTCTTTTTTTATCAACAAAGTATAAATTTTTATTATCTATAATATTTCAATGTTTTTTTTTTATTTATAAAATATATATTTTTTTAAATAAATGTAATCATTAATTTAAAAAATATTAATTTTATATAGAATTATATATCTTTTTAATATCATTAATAATAAAAATAATATAAATTAAAATGAAATTCTAAATTGTTTGTTCAAAGAAAACAAAATATTTAATTAAATATTTAATTATTTAATATTTTAGTATGGCTTACTGGCACGCTATGAATCTACATTAGTTATCGCAGAACATAATAATGAATCATTATTACCTATTACTTGTAATACTTTAAGTGCAGCAAAAAAAATTGGTGGAGATATAACAGTTTTAATTGCTGGTAGCAAATGTGATAGAGTTGCACAAAGTGTTAGTAAAGCTAATGGTATATCTAAAGTTTTGATCGCAGATAGTGATGCTTTTAAAGGATTTTTCCCAGAGGCATTAACTCCTTTGATTCTTGCAATTCAAAATGAATATAAATTTACCCATATTTTAACTGGTGCCACTGCTTTTGGTAAAGCATTATTACCAAGAGTAAGTATCAATTTAAAAGACTATTTTTTTTATTTTTATATGCAATTATGAAATATTTTTTTGTAATTCATATATAAATTTTATTTTTTAAGATTGCAGCTAAATTAGATGTGTCCCCAGTAAGTGATATTATTGATATTAAATCAACTGATACATTTATCCGTACTATTTATGCAGGAAATGCAATTCAAACTTTAAAATGTAAAGACAATGTAAAAATAGTTACAGTAAGAGGTACTTCATTTGAAGCTACACCTTTAGAAGGAGGTAATGCCAAGTGTGAAACTGCACCAGTTGGTGATTATAAATCACAATTGATAGAATTCATTAAACAGGAGTTATCTAAATCTGATAGACCAGAATTAACATCTGCAAAAGTTGTTATATCTGGAGGAAGAGGAATGAAATCTGGTGAGAATTTCAAATTATTATATACTTTAGCAGATAAACTTAATGCTGCAGTTGGTGCATCTCGTGCTGCTGTTGATGCTGGTTTTGTGCCTAATGATTTACAAGTAGGACAAACTGGAAAAATTGTTGCTCCAGTAAGTTTCATTTCTAATTACATATAATTATTATTATTAAAAAATTATTTATATTTTAATTTATATTATATAGAACTTATACATTGCTGTTGGAATTTCTGGAGCAATTCAGCATCTTGCTGGTATGAAAGACTCAAAGACAATTGTTGCGATTAATAAGGATCCAGAAGCACCTATCTTTCAAGTAGCTGATTATGGCTTAGTTGCTGACTTATTTAAGGCTGTTCCTGAACTCACGGAAAAATTGTAAATTTTGATATAATATTTTATAAATATTTTTGTTATAATATCTAATAATATAATATCTATAAATATATATATATATATACAAAATGTTCTTAGAAAATAATAAATTTTTATACGATTTAAAATATATGTGCTTTAATTATCTATTTTAATTTTATGTATTAATAATTTAAGATTAATTATATTGTCTTTATTTTAGTAAATTGTATTTTAGGTTGTAGCATTAAATATGGTATCATGAGATTTTTTTTAAATTTCATAATAATATATTATTACATTCTCAGTTTCAGAAAATGAAAAAACTTTCAAGAATTTTTTTCAAGAAATTTTTTTCAAGAAAATGTTCTGAGAAAATGAAAAAACTTCCAAGAAATTTTATATAAATATTTAATCAACGTAGTAATTTTGATAATATTTATCGCATACATGTATAATTTTCGACTTGAACGCCACCATGAATGCCCGTCCTTTCATACTTTGGTTATATATATATGTATATGGAACGGCTGCCATCTTTGTCGTTTCTTGGCGTGGTGCATGGCCGGCTAGATTACCTATTTTTGAGTGTAAAATCGTATTTATATGTTTTGTGTCTTTAGATGTGGAAATTCGATAATAATTTTATCATGAGTATGGACAGTATCGAAAAATTATACAAAAATTTTGGCATTTTGGCTGATGCCAAAGATAAATTAGCCGAGGTAGTCTACAAACTTGGTTATATTGAATAACCACATTTACTCATTTCTATCTTTTATAATTTTTTGTATTTATAAGCATAAAATACATATTTTATTTTCTTGTATTTTTAATATTTGCAAATATTTTATTAATTTCAAATTCATTGAATGGTATTTTTGATACCATGGAAGTGATTCAATTGTACATAAATAATTAATCAGAAGAAATAGTAAATATTATTAAATTTTTATTTGAATATTACAGCATGAAAAAGAATATTTAGAGATTCTAACAGCAGTGAAAGGATCACCTAAAGAAAAACGATTAGCATCACAATTCATTGCAAGGTTTTTTAAATATTTCCCAAAATTGGCTGATCAGGCTATAGATGCCCATTTAGATCTTTGTGAAGATGAGGATATGGCTGTATATTTTTTTTATTATTTATAATATTAATATATAATGTATATGTAAAAAATATAAAATTTTATAATTTATTTTTAGATCAGGAAACAAGCAATTAAAGATTTACCTGCATTATGTAAAGATAATAAGGAACATACAGCTAGAATTGCAGATATTTTAGCTCAATTACTTCAAGCTGAAGATCCATCTGAATTAGCTGTAGTTCATAATAGTGTTATGTCTCTTATGAAGACAGATCCAAGAGGTATTATTAATATATAATCATTTATTATTAGACTTTTGAAATGTTAATTGCATTTCATTATTTTTTTCTATAGGTACAATAAGTGGATTTTTTAGTCAGATTATTAATGGTGATGATGGAACACGTGAGCGTTGCATTAAGTTCCTAGCAACAAAATTAAAAGCAATAGGTCATGATATTATTACTAAAGAACCAGAAGACCTTTTAATTTCAGAATGCAAAAAAGTGTTACAAGTATGATTTTTTTATAATTATAGTTATATAATTTTTTTAACTTATATAATTTTTGTAATACTTCCATATTTAGGATGTTACTGCTGATGAATTTCACAGTATTATGGAAGTTCTTGCATGGACCAGATTAGGTACAACAATTAGTGGACAGCAAGAATTAGTAGATATTACAGTTGAACAAGCTGAATTGTCTGAACCATTCAAACATACTAATGTTGAACAGTGGAATAGACTTGTACAATGTATTAAACATGCACTTCCATTCTTTAGTGTAAATATAATCTAATCAAATTTTTAAAAGTCATTTTGTGTTTATTTATGAAATTTACAATAATGTATTTACTTTTTAGTCTCAAATAGATTCATCACGTTTTGTTTCTTATATTTGTATACAAGTTTTACCGCATCTTTCTTTAATTACTTCACCTGATGGAAGAGATGTACAATTGGAGTTATTAAAACTTCTTGCTGAATTAGCTGTATTTTGTGGCACAATTGATAAGCCAGAAGAAAAAGTACAACAACTTTATAATACTCTTATTGTAAGTAATATCATTGAAAATATATATTTTATTTAGAGAATATTAATAATATTTTAATATTTTTTAGACATATATGCCACTACCTCCAGTCACAGAAATAACGGAAGTACCACAATTACAGTTTAGTCATGTTGAATGTCTCATGTATGCTTTTCATAAATTATGCAAGCAAACACCAGAATTTTTAATGAAAGATCCAGAGCAGCTTAAGGAATTTAGATTAAGATTACAGTATTTTGCACGTGGTATTCAAGGTTATATAAAAAAATTACGAGAGGCAATTAGTGGAAAATCAGAAGAAGAATTAAAGTCAGAGGAGAATCAATTAAAAGTTGTTGCTTTGAAAACAACAAATAATATTAATACTTTAATCAAAGATTTATTTCATTCACCACCCAGTTTTAAAAGTGTTATACATCTTTCATGGAAAACAACAGCTAATGACAAAAAGGTACATATTAAACTAGTTCTAATTTTTTTTTAAAAATATATTTTATTAAATATCTTAATTTTTTTTTTTATCATTATTTTAGAATGAAAAGCATTCATCTGCTCAGAAGAGACATACACCAATTACATTTGGAAATGACAGCAATTCTAATAAACGAAGTAAAGAGGATAAAAGTAAAAGGGAATTATATACTCCTCCTAGTGGAAAATATAGTTCAAACATATCATCAAATTATGGTAATTTAATAAAAAAAAAACATTATTATTTTTCAAAATATTAGTTAAAGATCATAAGAAAAAGAATATAAAAAAAGAATTTTCTTTCATCTTATTATTTATTATTATTTCTTTCACTTTATTATAGGTCGAGGTAGATTTAGAGGAAATAGGTCAGGTGGTCGAGGTGGTTATAGACCGCGAGGTCGTGGAACGTGGAGAAAAAATTTTTACTAACTTTCTGATTATTTAAATTTTTAAAAAGCATGAAATGGTAAAAGCTGCAATAATATAAAAACTATATCAGGCCTGTAAAATGTACATATAAAAATGAAGAATGTAAAAGTGATTATTTACAGAAAGTGCTTTTTAAAAAAAGTGACAAAGGAAATACAACTTTTTTGTTCGATAAATCTTAGTGTAAAGAAAGTGTTTTCTTGTGAAAGCTTTAAGTACACACCATACATACAAGTTTCAAACACAAAATTATAAGGATCAATAATTCACTGAACACAGTGGTAATCACTAACAATTGTCATAATGAAATATTGACATTTAAAGAAGAGAAGATTGGTGTGAAAATAATATACTAATTGTGTTATGACAATTTTTTTATTGTTAAACAAATGAAAAATACAATTTGGAGAAACTTGAGTTTGGAAAAAGTGAATAAATACGTGGGAAGAAGTGAGCAAGATGACATCATGAACTTCAAGAAGTGTTTATTATGAAACTATTAATCAGGTACTTTAACAGGCAATACAACAAATAAAATAATGACGAGAAAATGGTGCAAGGACACAGTATGTGAATCATTTGAAATGAAGAATTATCAAATATCAGAACCAAAAATTTCATATAGAGAATATTTAAAAATTCATACTGTACAATGACCGGTTTGTGCTATGACATGGACACTGGTGTTACACGTATTTGCAAAAGACAGACAATTTCTTTCTTCCACAACAACTCTAGATGTTAAAATAGTATCAAAATGTATTCCTGTATTTCCTAGTTCTTCCTATTCCTCTTTCTAGATAACATTTTTTATTTCTTTTGCCAACAGGAAAGCGACGATTGGAATAATTGAAGAAACGCCAAATGGAATATCTTTTGAAAATATAATAAAATCAAAGAAACTTAAAGAGACCTTTTGTTTTCAATTTCTCAAATTATATTAGTTATATTTACAACTACATTTACATATTTTTTATTTATTATTTCTATTCTACAGTATAAAATATTTAGCTTTTTTATCAATTAAATAAATTTTTTTTATTAAAATAATTGATTTAAGTATAAAAGCAATATAAAATTATTAAAATCTTTTATAAATTTATAAATATAAATGAAAAATATAATACAAGTCTAAAAGTTTCTTTGATTATATAGAAGTAAAGATATAATTTTTATTGCATACTTTTTATTTTGCAGATGCTGTATGTGATTCTTGTTGAATGGATAGCAAAGCAGAGCAAAAATAATCATTTTTTGATTACAGATTACCAGATCAAGGAGGAAGTTTAATAAGGAAAGATTATAACTTTATTCTTTTCAGGAATTGAGGCATGGTTGTATATTATCTTTTATTTGTATATTCATGGTAGCTGTTTTGTAAGGTGAGTTTAAAAACATATTGTGTCCTTTTCCTATCCACCATTGAATAAAAATTGTGTAATGCTAATAATAATATAATAATAATTCATGAATATATTATCATTTAATTTAATAAATAATAATATTGCATAATATATGTTGTATTTTTTATGCCCAATATCGAGTGTTATTACACAGTTAATTAAACTATTTGTGAAAAATTTACAATTATCGAATATTTATGTGTTTTAATTAATATTTAATACAAATGTTTTGTAATTTGTCAATTACATAATTATATAAAAATTTACTTGTATGTATTAATATATTGTAACATTTTAAAAATATTATTTTTGTTTATTATGATTTCAAATATGTAAGCATTACTTTAGTAAATTTATTGCAATATTATTAGAAGAATAAAAGCTATTGATTTAAATTATATTGTCTTTTTAATATATGTAATGAAGCAGATAAATTGTACAGAAGATTTGTACCTGTTGTTTAATAAATATACTACACTTCTAAAATTATTATTACAATATATCTTACAATTATAATTACAATAATTTTTACAGTACATCCTTAAAAAAGAAATTTCAATATAATCCATTCGTTGAAATCATATCATCTATTGTTTTGCACATAATACGATCACATGGATTACATGGATCTGGAGTTTGTTGTTCAGAACCTAAATTATCAACAGATTCCATAGCATCTGTATTTATTGCTAATTTAGAATCCAATTCTGAAGTGTCTGGTAACATCTGCAATGCATGTTGTAAAATTTCTTGTACCTATAAAAAAATTATTATAATTTGAAATGCACATTGTGCCAATATTAATTAAAAATCATACCTTTTCTAAATGTTTCTGAAATCTAAGTGCTGTTTCTATACGCTGTCTACGTTGCAATTCCATCATTACTCTTAATGTTTCTCTTGCTTGATGTGGCCTGAATTCATTTAATAAGTGATGAATGTGAATAAATAATAAACTAAGATCTTCCACCTGTAAACAATAACATAAACATTGACTATTTGTTTTATGCTAAAATGATATATTATAATATATTATAATACTTTTTCTGCACGTCTTGGACTATCAGGACACTGTACGAGCAAATCTATTAGATCCAAAAAATTAACAAGCAATGAGTGGTTCAATTTTTTCAACTCTCGTCGTCGATCAAAATGCTGAGGATATAACCTTTTAATTCCTTGAGCTTCGAGAGGTCTAATAATTGTATCATCTGCGTTAAATACATTTCCAAACATCGAATAAGTATCGTGTATTGGCGGTGGTGGTCTTGGTGCTCTGCCTCGACGAACATTTTCGTCTGTATACAAATTAATATACTGAACTGGAGGTAGAGGAAGAGAACTGACTTGTATTGCCTCTGGTGCTGCCATTTTTAATATGTGTAATATCGATTCAATAAAAAATAAGGAATAATTTCACTTAAAATAGGAGTTTTTCAATATAAATATGTAGGAGGTTAAATTCATCTAGAAGAACTTGACTGTTGTCAAACTGATTGGAATATTAACGTCAGTGCGCATGTCTGTAATTTCGCGCGTAGTCGCCATTTTTTTTTTTTTACACAATTTATTTTCCGTTTATTTAATATTTATAATATAAAAAACAATAATTTATAGTAATATTACAAAAACTATATTTATAAATTACAAAATTAAACTACAAAATCTAGTTTCACACTAATATATTAATATTTTATTTTAGGTTACATTAATGTAATTTCACAATTCAACATATTTTTTTATTAATACTTTTTTTTTGCAAATATCATATTAATCAAAATATTTATGCACTTTTTGCAAAATTTTCAGCACGAATTAATAAAAATTAAATAAATGTATAATTAAAACAAAACAACATATAATGTAGCCTTCAAATCCGCCATTTTGTTTTTTTAAAATGAGTCAACAGGTATTCTCTGTTGGCCAGTTAATACGTTAATGCCAGCAGGACGTCGAACTCAGATTAGGGATTTTCGTTGTTTAAGTAGCAAAACAAAAGAGTGAACGTGTGGATATTGTTTGTTTTTTGGTTAAAAAATCTTTCTCATGGTGTGATGATATTTCGGATAAATGCTTTACTAACGTAGTGAGGTATTTCCTGCTATCTTGTGAATTTCCAACGTCTTCGTTTGACAGATTGTCGGTGTGTGTATGCGTTCGTTCCACGTGAATTCTTTGTTTGGGCACCGGTCATGTTTCTGACAAGTATTGAAATTGCGAGGTGGTAGCAGTACTCTAGTGCATGGTAAGTTGATTTTCTGTTATAAATTTTATATAAATCAATGTTATTGCAACTAAACTTTCACATAGAAATATTCATATAGCCGAGTGTCAGGATAACCACAAACTATCGCGTTGTCGTTGATCTCACTGTTCTGTTATGTCTCATAATTTCAAGGAGAATGCCTTTGTGTGATTGTTTTCTTTTATAATCAAACACTTATAAACTAATATAAATTTTTCGAAAAATCCTAAATTACGATCAAAACAAAGAATAGAATTTGATTCAGAGTTTATGCACAGTGTGTATACAGGGTGGCTCATATAAGTAGTATCAGTTTAATATTTAAAAAATCATATATGTAACATTATTTTAGTCTTAAAAAAAATAAATTAAGATAAAGATGAAGTTTTTTTTAAATATTATATAAAATATATATAATATTTAATATATATAATAAATATAATTTTTAAAAGATTAATTCCTATTAATTTATAAAGAATAAAGAAAATTAAAAATTAAAAATTTTAGATGAAGATTATAAAACGAATCATTTTCTATAATTTATATTAGAAGATGAACGAGTTTTGTTCATAAAATTGTTTTTTTTTTCAAAAATAATATACATTTGGGAATCGTTATAAAACGATAGAGTAAACGAATAATTAAAATGGCCGAAATTTATTTTAATTAAATAATTATTAATTATTTTAATAAAATATATAAACAAATTTATTAATAAATATATTTGATTTTTTATATATATCGAATTATATTTTGTTTATTTAAATTTTTATAATTTTATATTTACAGAATTTATAATATATATACATATTATTATTTATTAAATTATTATATTATAATAGATTAATATATCATAATTATTATTTTTATTATTTATATTACATATTTTTATTACAACTCGATTTTTTTACTTGTTATATATCTTTTTTTTTTCTTTATAACTTTTTATATTTTATAATAAAATAATAAATAAATTAAATAATGCTTCAATATTAATATGCACGATTAAAAGATTAAATCCCAATATATTGATTCATGATAGAATTGTTTTATCCTTTTATTTTATTTCGTATATTTACAAAAAATAATAATTTTTCTATATTCAAAAAACATTTCAAAAATCGAATGTCATTTAAATGCGTTAAAATGAATTTTTTTCAATTGAAAGTTCTCTTAAAATTTAATGAATTTGTCTTTAATTTTGTTCAGTGTATCGCATCTTTCTTTTCTCTTCCATTTCCAAGAAGTAAATGGAAAGTATGAGACGGGCGGAAATTCAAAAGACGTCGCGGTTTAGGTGGACCTTTAAAATTTCAGAGACATGAGTTACAAAAGAAATTCACTGGAAGTAGATATTTACTGGGGAGTTGAGTGCTCGAGTACTTAGTATCGTGCATTCATATTAATAAATGCTCGAATCATTATAATCAGTTTTATATTGTCATTACAATCTGTTTTAAAAAAATTATACTCTTTTTTTTTATCATAAATTAATATGAAATTTGGAAAACAGCATACAATATTTATATTAAGAAATATAAAAATCATATTAATCATATTTTAATTAAAATTTTATTCCATTATTCCAATTGATTAACGTCAAATCAATTTTAAATCTTTTTATAAAAAATTCAATCTAAAAAGAATTTGTTAACTGGTTAATAAATAATTTGTTAATAATTATCTTGATAGGTAATATTAATTACCTTGTAATATAATGTAATAGTGATATAAAATATAGCAAAAAAAATTTAATCCTACCAGAGGTACTCGACCGGAACTGACACTCACATGCAAATACGCGCGAATCTAACTTTCTGCGCGTGCGCGTGCGCGATCGACAAATGCGTGTATTACATGCGTTCTCGCTTCGAACAGTGGTGTGTGTTTAGCCACTGTTTACGCTATTTATTTAGGCTGCATCTCTGTTTTATTTTAAACACATTATTTTTCTGTTTTCTCTGTATATGTCCAAAAGAAATCATTTGTTTGATTATCGATATAAGCACGATACAAATACATCTCCCATCGATTTTTATTTGTAAATGGATACCTTTTTGAAAAAATATTTGAAATGAAGATAAGAAAACTTTTTATTCCGATTATCAAATTACACGAATGAATTTAACAATATCGTTTTATTATTATTAATGTAAATAAAAAAAAATAAAAAACAAAAATTATTTTAAAGAAAAATAATAAAAAAAAATATTTTATTCATTTCATATAGATTGAAATGAAGAAAAGTCGTCTGATTTTTAAGTTTTGTTACAACGAGAAGCTAAAGGCTAAGTTCGTCTCATGAGAATGTGGTCGAAGATTTTTAGCCTGATTCTCTGACTCTCTATTTTGAATGGAAATTCTTCGTGGCCGAGTCATGCTGGCTTTAATGGAGGTCTAGAATCCCGTAAAACTTTTATCTATATTTGGCTCACAGGATTTTAAAATTTTTCTTCGCGTTGTGTTTCCATATTTTAAACGTATTATGATCTGAATATTTTACTTTTTTAAATTAGTCTCAAATTATTTTAAATTACGTTCGTTTAAATTTTTAGGAGGAAAAAAATTAATCGATACTTATCCGAAAAGTATCCAGACTGCTTGTCTGAAATTCGAACTATCGAGATAATTGAAAGTTCATTGCGGAACTCGCTTAATTGGTCTTCGTCTAACTTAACGTTATAGAAACTTTTAGTTTCTGCGAAGTGCTGCAGCTTGTTTGATAGAAATGAAGAATTTACCTTCGTTTCTATCGAGCGAAGTAAATGCCTTTATACAATAAATCTTCATTACTTCATCATCCGTAATCACACTTCGATTCCTTAATCGTCAATTAATTCATTAAACTCCTTTCAAATAAATGAATATTCGCATAATACTCGATATTTTCTACAAATTAAAAATTCTAACAGACTAAAAATTTTAAACTTTTAGCATTCCTAGGATTAAACGAGATCTAACATTAAAAGTTCAATTTAGGATAAAAAAAAATTTCTTCTATCTCTATAAAATATTTAAATTTAACAATTTATTAAATTTCTAACATTGTCACTCGATTCACAAAACCGTCTATAATAATAATTATTTTTCTATTTCTTCTGTTTATATTATATCATAATAATCGAAACCTTGTTTTTCAGGGTGGCCCTCCATCTGGTATGGCGGGGAAAGATGGGAAGGTGGAGCCAAAAAGCGGGGATGTGGTGAGACAGGGGTTCATGGTGAAACGTTCTCAGAACAAGAAACGTTTCACTCCTGTCAATTACAAACAACGTTGGTTCGTTTTGACGAGGCGCTATCTCGTGTACTACGACGGCGATGGAGAGGTGAGTATTCTACCTTTTTTTTTTTTTTTTTTTTTT